TTCTCCAGCCTGATGGTCTTTTAACAGAGATGTTACCTCTGCAGATTTTAGACTTGCCAGCCTCCATAATAGCATGAATTTATATATGAATTTCATATATATGTATATATGAATTTCTCCGGAGAACCCCCTGAGTACTACATAGAGGAAACCAAAAAAACTTTAATAAATATTACAGGGCCCTATCTGAGCATGATAGGCCTGTCACTCTAACCCAGCTCCTGAGAAAGGAGCAACAGAAACAGAACATATGACCGCCTCAGCTTCCTAGGCCAGGCCACCTGTTTTACAGGAGGGAAAGTCACTCAGAAGTCTGGAGGTCGCCCACATAGCCACAGGGGCCGAGATGCACTCAGATTTTGTGAGACTTGAAGCTTAGACCATTTTCTGTGTCTGGGGTGGGGGTGCTTCTTAAGGAAAAAAAAATATGAAATGACAAAAATTTTCATAAATACATAAATTCAGGTGAACACATTGGAGACCTTTCACAACTTTGGAAATAGTCTATTTAAGTGACAGGCACTTCTTGATAAATTCACTTCTGCACAGGAAAATTTAGCTGAACAACCTGAAGATTCTGGTTCAGTGCTTACCTAGTTTCAAAAATGTTGAGGAAGACAGAAAAACAGAAGGGAGAATAAGAGCTGCTGACAAATTTTGACAACTAACTTTTGAAATTATTTCCAGATTTAAACAAAGTACCAGATGCCCTCCTAAAATAAAAACAAATTACAAGGAGAAAAAGATATATGCATTTTACAAAGAAAAAGAATTCCTTCAATAAATAAAATATGGTTAGTAGGTACAAATGAAATTACAGCTGCTTACTCCCCCAGCTGATTATCAATTTCCAGTCACGTGAATTCTAAGGTTACTTATAGTGACTGCTTCTCAAATCTGAGACAAGGGCACTAAAATTGGCTCACTTTAAAGTTGCTCAAGCAAATGTGACCCTTCATGCCTGGTATGTGTCGATAAATGCAATCTATAGGGGTGAAGTTTCTTGTTTTTAACTCTTGCAATTAAGAGAATGAGTTGGTTTTCTAGAAAATCTTCAGGACTATTAAATTTTATATTTATACATATGAAAAACAGTTTTCAAGTTTGGTTTACCTGAGACTGGGAATTAATTTTTGTTAAAATTCATCACACCTCCATAAGAAGGAGCAAACCCTTCCATTTAAATTTCTTTTTAACACAGGTTACTGAACACTGTGCTGGGGAAATAACTATTTTGTAGATTCCATTTATTTGATCCTCAGAATCTTAATTTAGGAGTTCAAGATTCATAACTACCAAAGCTAGTCACAGCTCTTGCCTTTATTCCTTTCAAAAATGAGGTGTTCTGGGGCAGATAGAAATGACAATGTGTGTGCGTGTGTGTGTGTGTGTGTATCTGTGTCACACACACAGAGACACATATACTCAAAAAAAAAACTTTGGGATGTGTGGAACAAGTTTATTACTATATATATACCAAATACTGAAGCACTGCTCCTAAGGAGAAACACAGGGTACACAGGGTTAGGTTCTTGCAAGCCTCTAGTCACATTTTCTTTAACTGATCAATATGTAACTTTCTTTTATGCCTATATCTGTTTAAAGATTCCTTATTTAATGTAGATTGTTGACTTATTAACGTTGAACTCACCACTAGCAGCACTATAACTCATGACTGAATAAAGCTTATGTAACACATGCATTTTTCTCCTTAAGGCACATCGGCTTTCTTGCACTTTAAAACACTAGACAGCACTCGCACTAAGCTTGGGGGCCTGTTTTAAATAGTGAACTCACCAACAAAAAGCACAAAAATGAGAAAAGTGTATCAATAAACAGGCCATGCAAAGGATACTTGCTAACACTCTGATAGCTAAAACAAGAAAGCAAAGTGTCACCTTGATCACCCTTAGCTGGAAATGTGCACGATGGACAATATAATTTTGTCACCACTCTGTGCATGTCCATAAATGACAGTGAAAGCATGGTGAGTGTTGATTTGGGTGTTACAAACAAATTTTAGGGAGTTGGTGAATTCAAAAATACAGAATCTGTGAATAATGAGGATTAATTACATATATATGTATAGTATATGTATCTGTGTACATTTATATATTTATAAAATAAGTGTCATTACTTGATAGTGAGATTCTAATTCAATCAATATTTATTGATGCTTACTACTGGCTGCACGGTTCTGTCATAGATGCTCAAGTAATACAAAAAAAATATAATTCATAATAGCCTTCCTCAATGCACACATTATTAGGAAGTCAAAGCATTGTGTATATAAAATGATAGTAAAGCCAAGAGAAAGACAATGTTGACGAAACAACAGAGATAATACATGTTACATAAAAGCTATGCAGGCTTTGTTTCTGTTACATATAGTTCATGAATTATTTCCTATGTAGAATTTGGAAGAAAAAATAAATTAAGAGTTTATATCTGCACTATTCAATCATGGTAGACATGAGCCACATGTGACTGTTTAAGTCAAAATTGATTTAATAAATAAATTAAATTTAAATTAATTTACAATTTAGTAGTTTTTCAGTCCTACAAGCCACATTTTAAGCGTTTAATCATGACATGTGGCTAGTGGGTACTGCATGAGACAGCATAGATATGGAACATTTCCATCGATGTAGAAGGTTCTATTGGATAGTCCTGATACGGATTCTCTATATGTGTGGAAAACCAAGGAGAAAAAAATCACACACACACACGAAATTCCTATTCAGAATTATTAAAGCTATAAATTATATAGAATATTTTAGGTTTTACCCTTACAGCATTTGAAAAGGAGAATTTTAAGTTTGTCGTTTCTTGCACATTAGTGATATTTTATGATAACAGCCAGAAACACCATAAAATTTCCATGACATCTTTAGAGAACAATAATATTTCTATGATAGAAAGAAAACTCCTGACACTTCATGCTCAACGGTGGTTTATTACACATCAAAAATAAACATATTCCATTTTTCTGTTTCTCCATCATTTGTTAGTTAATTCTCTCAGAGAAGCATTAAAGGTTTACATGTACAGTATGAGCCTTGGAGAATGAAGCAAAAGAGAGAAGTTTGTTCACAATTCTATCAATAATTTATTATGTAAACTTTGTAACACAAAGATCAAGAACACAGGTTTGAGCTGTGCTTTCAGTAACAACCGTGGAGCTACCAAGAACACCAGCAACTTCCAGATGTCCTCTCACCAACGCTGGGTCGCCAGAGACCTTGGCAGCTTCTCCCATTCAGATCTCCCTGCTACCAGCTCTGTGGATGGCAGCCACTCTGTGAGGGCATGGGGGAAATTCCAAGTGCCCAGGATTTAACCAGGACGTACGGCGCAGATACACTCAATCTCCAGAAGCCCAAATAGAAAAGAATATTTCATGATCTGTCAATTCCATCCCATCTGTGCATTTCCAAACTCCCTTCCCACTCTCACCCCAGCTTAGGTGGTATTTCTCTTGTCTGGAGGAGGCAGGGGAAAAGAAACAACTCTGGAAATTGACACAAAAGTCTACTTCGAATATATTTCTGACTTGCACTTGGACCTGTAGTGTTTAAGTTTAGAAGATTAAGAACTTGTTGTCTTTGTTTTCAAGTACAGACCTAACGAATTCCCCAAATCTCCCAGCCCAACTGGGGTATGCTCACGAGAAGAAGAAAAGAATAACCATGTTGATTTCTTAAGTTTGCTATCCTCAAAGACACCAACCTACAGAGTGACTGCTTCTTTTAACAGTCACTTTCATTATCAGTTTTACTTGAACCAGTATATCAGGTTGTATTAATACCTGAGCAATTTTCAGTCCATTATCATTAGTACCCATGAAGGATATAAAGAAGGAGCTAACTTAAACCCAGAAGTGCATATTTGATCACATCAGCAAGATAAACATACCTGTGGTCAAATCATGTAATTTTGGATATTTCTTTCATGCCCTGATCTATGTTATAATTCTTTTTAAAAATTTACTTAGTTTATTCCTGAACTTCTAAATTTACATTCAGAGATTGCTTTGGAGATTTCTTGGAAAAGAAAGTAGGTAAAAGGGTATTATGCTCCCTGAAAACTGTGAGAAACGTTCCTGTCTTCTATTCCCTGTTTAAAAAAGTAAATCTGAAACACCAAGTAGTTATTTTTTTCTTAAGCACTATCACTTGAGAGATATTAATAACCTCAGACAGATTTAAATTCTAGAAGAAAAGAATATAAATTCCATATTAATTAAAGGATATTTGGTCAGGGACCCAGGAAACCCGCTTCAACTAGTACTGAGAATTCAACATACTGCAATAGAAATAAATGATCCTCAAGAGAAACAACAAATAAAAAATTTTAAATTAAGTCCTGTTTGTAAACTTTTATGAATAAGCAATATTTTGTTATGAAAAATGCTTTTCAGCACAACTAGTATTTTTCCAGTAACTAGAGTTGCACAGTTGCCTGCCCTAACCTACAATAGGAAAAGTGATTTGCATTAAAAAATATAAATGATTTCAAGATGGCAGAGCAAGTAAATACTGTGCTTGCTTCCTCTCACGACCACATCAAAATTACAACTAAACTGCAGAACAATGATCATTGAGAATCACCTAAAGTCTAACCAAACAGTAGTCCTTTAACTAAAAACATACAGAAGAAGCCACCTCAAGATTAGGAGGAAGAGCAGAGACAGAACAGGCTGGTCTCATACCCACATGTGTCTGTTAACAATAGGAGGGATATCTCAGCTGCGGATATTTCACCTGGAGGAGCAAGGGGTCCCAGCCCCATACCATGCTCCCCAGCCAAGGGTTCCAGTGCCAGCAAGAGAAATCCCCACAACTTTTGACTGTAAAAACCAGCAAAAATTGTTGCTGAAGGAAATAGAGGGCTGCAGGAGTTGCAGAGTTTCCTCCCATTCCCAGACTTACTTGCTGATGGACTTGCTCATTCTGAGTTCCAGCACTGGGGCAGCAGCTCAAAAGATGCCAGGGACATATGAGGAGGAACTGAATTGTCTGGCTTCAGGGCGAGGCCTGGAGGGGTGGCTTTCTCCCAGACAGAAGTGCTAGCAGAATTCATTGTTTCTTTGTTGAGTCCTTCCCCCTCCTGGAGTGTAGACACAGGTGGCCACCATATCTGAGTCTCCATCCACCTGGTTAACACAGTTTGCTCTGTCCTGGTGATTCCCTGAGACCCCGCCCCACCTGACGTGCAGGCCCACCCAAGCTGCTTCCAGTGGCTTTTCCATACAAACTGTCTATCTTGACTCATTCTGTGGACTTTCCTAAAATCTCCCAAAGTTTCACAAAACCCAAACAAGTAGCGTCTGGCCTCCATATGCCCTGTACCTGTTGCTGAGCAGCACCAAGCTCAGCACTAGAGGCAGTCAGCCTCGGTTCGCAGTTTTGCCTCTTGAGGCACCTCCAAGCCCAGTGCAGGTGACTGCCATTTGTAGATTGCTTGGTGGTTCATGCCAGGTGGCCCCCAGCAGGGCAAATCAAGTGACCAACATTTGCATCACAGGGGTACCAGAAGGAGAAGAGAAAGAGCAAGAAATTGAAAACCTATTTGAAGATATAATGAAGGAAAACTTTCTTAACCTAGTGAAGGAAATAGATATATACAAGCCCAAGAAGTGCAGAGTGTCAAACAAGATGAACTCAAAAGGCCCACACCAAAACAGATTATAATTAAAATGCCAAAGTTTCAAGAGAAAAGCAGTTAGTTATCTACAAGGGAGTACCATAAGAGTGTCAGCTGATTTCTCAATAGAAACTTTGCAGATCAGAAGGAATAGGCACAAAATACTCAAAATGATGAAAAGCAAGGACCTATAACCAAGATTACACTACCCAGCAAAGCTATCATTTAGAATTGAAGGAGAGATTAAAAAACTTCCCAGACAAGAAAAGGCTGAAAGAGTTCATCACCACCAAACTAACATTACAAGAAATGTTAAAGAGATTTCTTTAAGAATAAGAAAGATTTGAAAATGTGAATAATAAAATGGCAATAACTATGAATCTATCAACAATTACCTTAAATGTAAATGGATTAGATGCTCCAATCAAAAGACATAGGGAGGCTGAAATATAGATAAGAAGGCAAGACCCTTACAAGAGATGCTATCCACAAAAGACTAGCTTCAGATCAAAAGACACAAAGTCTGAAATTAAAGGGGTGGACAAAGATATTTATAACAATGGAAACAAAAATTTTTTTAAAGCTTGAGTAGCAATACTTATACCAGACAAAATATACTTTAAAACAAAAGCTATAACAAGAGACAAAGAAGGACCCAGTAATCCTACTTCTATGTATTTATCCAAAGAAACCCAAAACACTACTTGGAAGAAACACAAACATTCATATGTTCATGACAGCACTGTTTACAATAGCCTAGTTCAGATCAAAAGACACAAAGTCTGAAATTAAAGGGATGGACAAACATATTTCATAACAATGGAAACAAAAATTTTTTTAAAGCTTGAGTAGCAATACTTATACCAGACAAAATATACTTTAAAACAAAAGCTATAACAAGAGACAAAGAAGGACCCAGTAATCCTACTTCTATGTATTTATCCAAAGAAACCCAAAACACTACTTGGAAGAAACACAAACATTCATATGTTCATGACAGCACTGTTTACAATAGCCTAGGTATGAAGGTAACCTGAGTGTCTATCAAAGGATGAACAGAGAAAGAAGTGATACTTAGATACGAGGGAATATTACTCAGCCATAAAAACGAATGAGATCTTGCCATCTGCAACAACATGGATGAACCTAGAGGGAATTGTGCTGAGTGGAGTTAAGTCAGACAGAGAAAGACAAATAAATGCCATATGATTTCACTTATATGTGGAATCTAAGGAACAAAATAAACAAACAAACAAACCAGAAACTCACAGGGAACATTTTGATGGTTGCCAGATGGGAGAGGAGTTGGGGGTGGTTGAAAAAGGGGAAGGGATTAAGAAGTACAAACTGATAGTTACAAAATAATTAAAGGGATGTAAAATATAGCATAAGGAATGTAATCAATAACATTTTAATATCTATGTATAGTGTCTGATGGGTACTAGATTTATCAAGGTGATCACTTTGTAAGTTATATAAATGTCTAATCACTGTTATACACCTGAAACTAATATTATATGTCAACTGCAACTGAAAAAAATTTTTTTTAATTGAAAAAAATACATGACAACCTGTAGGGAGAAGTTGGTATAATATGAAACAAATGAGAAAACAAGTACGGTGTTTGATGCTATTGAACTGCTAGTGAATAAATGAGAAATAATAGCAAATATATATATATATATATATGAGACAGCAGATCGAGTAGGCAAAGTTGAAATGTGATAGTAGCAACATCCTCACTTTATTGGTTTCTCGTAAGAGATTTTAAGTAAAATTCCATCTCCAAGTATTATGTTTTGCAGGAAACATATTGAGGTTCTTAGGTAACTTATATAAGTCTCTCATAAACCGAGCATATTTACCCAACATATATACCCAGTGTACTTAACACCTGGAACATAGCATCTTCCACTCTCTTTCTCTTTATGACAAAATTACTTTTAGTACAAATATGAAATAAAATAAATAATATTAGGATATAAATACAGACTGTTAACATCTTCATTTATTAAAGTTTCTACATACAATCATGTAATATATATAGTATATATAGTCTGTGTGTGTGTGTGTGTGTGTGTGTGTATAAATTTAATAGTAACCATAGAAATTGTTAAGAATTTAAACCAACAGACTTTTTTCAAGGAGCATTTCATCACTGACATTGTTTAGAACTGCTAGCACATGGAGATGATTAAAAGCAGAGTGACATGTAGTCAGTTTTATTATTGTTTTTAAATTCTTTACAGACAATATACTTCCATATTGCTGCACAGAGAGCTGACTGCTCCTAGCACTCCCCCACACACACCCAATTCGGAATACCACCTAGTCTTATTCATGTATTTTAAATCTCATGTAATTGTGAAATTCAATTTGCACATAAATTTAAAAAATATTGGAATAAATTTCCAAAGTTCTATCCAGTCCTCCAATTTGAGAATTTCCTTTAACGATATAACATGTAGGGGATTGTGGCTAGTATTTATTTCATTTCAAGAAGTTTGGTATTAACTTAAAATTTAACTAGTTATCCATAATAATTTATAGTATTCTTTTCATCCCAGAATTTCTCTAAACACTTTAGAACCTATTTGTATTTTCATCATGGCCCGTATTTAGGGGTTATAAGTACTGTAGCTTTAATACCTCCTATTTACTGTTCTATTTATTGTTCTCTTTAAACTTTGTTCGTTCACTCTTTAAGGGCTGTCTCCTGGGTTCTAGATTCTGAGATTTGGTTATACAATTTTGGTCCCACTTCAGGAATATATTCAGAGAACATCAAATGAAACTGCATTGGTTGTTCTATCAATTTTAGATCATTTTTTACACTCTCTCCCTTGTTGCTAACTGGCCATAAAACTGAGTTGAGAAAGGAGAAAAGTAAACCCTCAAGCTGTATCTAAAGCTTTATTTGCAATAATACACCAGCACATCCAATAATTTAGAGACTGAGGCAAATTCTAGGATTCCAGGATCCTAGAATTACGAGGCTGACGTCAATTTGCATTTGAAACTTGGAATGATTGAATAGCAGTTGTACCCTCCACTGAGAACACAAACACACCTGTGCTTCCTATTTACGTTCACCTGCTAACTAATTCATATCCCCATTTTGTCACACAATGACTTTCCCAACAAACTACTATAATGTTTTAACTTATTAAAGTCCCACTGTAATATAAAAGTGTCCATCTCTATCTCTCTATAGCTGGATATAAACTATGGCGTGCTGGAGCTGGCTTGTACCAGCTCACAAGAGCTGATGGTTAAGTAGCATCTCTTCCATTTTATGTTCAATGATGTCACACTGGTGGTTTGAAATTGGCCATTGTGGAAATATTTACACCACAGAAAATGGCAAATGCCACAAATCAGGGTTTCACCCACCCCAAGAAAGCTAGTTTTTAAACATTTACCAGAGCATCCTTGGAGATTATACATATATCTGTTATTACTTCACACAGGGGTCTTTATCCTGACTTCTTCCTAGCCTGGCTTATGTGTGTGCCTGGTAAACACGACAAGAATGCATATGCATGAGTGACTAAAATGTACAAGAATTCACTTAGAGATTAGTTATGGTTACCTATAGTATATTGCTTCTCCATAAAGTATGCACAAGGAGAAAGGATACCAAAGTTTGCCAGAATACAAGATACTGCTCTAGGTATCTAATACAAGAAAGCGAATGTCCTCTGAACCATGAGTTTGTATTAGTTAAGGTCCCAGCATTTGTACACTCAAAGGTTTAACTGAGAACTGTTTAACGAAAAGACTATTTGCAAAGAAGTAGATAGAGTTAAAGGAAATAAACAAGGAATGGTGAAGCACCCAGGGACCAGCAACAGTAGAGACAGGAGCCATTACTATTCCTAAGCCTAAAGGGGCAAAGGGAAGGGTTGCTCTTCCTGGAGCCAACCAACAGGAACTCTAGCCAGAGGTAAAGAAACTTCCAGAACTGTGGCAAGGCATGCAGGGGTAGGGGGAGATAAATAGCCAGACCTCTCTCTATGCCTCCCTCCCTCCTTACTTGTGCTTCTCACTGGCCAGGCCCACCAGAAAGAAGAGAGCAAAAGCTCAAGTGACACAGTCCGTTGAGGTCACCTCCCAGGTCACAGAGCAGGGCGTGCAAGGGCAGAGGACAGAGCTGGGGAATGAAAGCAAAAGAGAATAACCCTCCCAGTCTCCTTGACTCTCCTTTCCCTCCATTCTGCATTCCTTCTTCTAGCTCCATTCCTTGCCCTCCATTCTGCATTCCTTCTTCTAGCTCCATGTAGCTGCAGAACAAGTAGAGAATTGAATCACTTAGCTATGCAGTCACATGTTTTTTAAAAAATTTAAGTTGTTTTTATTATTATTATTATTATTATTATTATTATTATTATTATTCTGATGAAAAAGGAGAACTATAAGAGAGAAAGAGGGATTTTGAGGAGGTTAGGCTGCTATGGCTATAATTTCAAACAGAACTCAAATTGCAAGCATATTTTATATTTTACTTAGAAAAGCCATATAGATTTAAAAGTGCAGAATAGAAGAACGATGCAATATACTCTGAAATCATCTTTAACGGAGGAAATGAAGCCAAGTCATAATAACCTTTTGACGCAGAACATCAATGTCATTCCAACGATTTTACAGAGACCGACAAAGGGACAATTAAGCCAGATGACTCTGAATCGCTTGCTTGAATGTGCTAAGGATGGTTTCTTTAGTCCAGCACTCGCGGCACTTACTGGAGAGGCACTTCAGCTTCTACTTTCCTCCTACAGGCACAGAGATAAAGAAAATGCATTTTAAGGTCATAAAAGTTGTTACGATGTCCTAGCCCTAGTCATACTCAGGATAATTATAATAGCAACCAACTCCAGCCCAAAGAATCTCTACATAAATAGGCAATACATTCCACTTACACTTTTGGTTAGTGTTTGAGTTTGTTAGGGCGCTATAGTAAAATCCACACACTGGATGGCTTAAACTACAGAACTTTTTTTTTTTTTGGCTTCACAGTTCTGGAGGCTAGAAGTCCACGATTAAGGTGTCAGCAGGGTTGGCTTCTTCCGAGGCCTCTCTCCTTGGCTTGTAGATGACCGCCTTCTTTCTGTGTCTTCACATGGTCTTTCCTCTGTCCTATGTTCTAATCTCTTCTTATAAAGACATCAATCATATAGGATGAGGGTGTCTTCTTATAAAGACATCCTAATGACTTAGTTTTAACTTAATTACCTCTTTAAAGATTCTATCTCCAAATACAGTTACATTTTGAGGTATTGAGGGTTAGGGCTTCAATGTATGAATTTGAAAGGGACACCATTAAGCAAATAACAGTTTATTTTCTTTCTCCTACACCCCCATTCTCTAGCTTCCTCCAGAAAGGACAATTTGCCCTGGTCTACCTTACTTCAACTACTCAAAACATATCATTCTTTGGTTCCTATCTTTCAGTCCATGCTTTCTATTTTCAGGTATCATAGGCAAATTATCTGACTAATTAGAAATTATAAGCAATTTGATTCTTCCAATTTATAAGTATATCAATCTCCCAAGTAAAAGGAACTGTCTAGTGACAATGTTGTTATTGAAAAAACAATACTAGAATAGCAAGATTTCAGGAATCTTTAAAGCTGAAAATAGGAATGTTTGAGAAAAGGCAAAGAATTGCACTTGGCTTCAAATAAAGAGGAAATGTATGTAAGGTCCCTGCACAGGCCCTGGTGCTCCATAGGGTCTGAATCGTCACCAGTTCCCTTATGCACAGGGGTAGATGTTTATAGATCCAACAGCCCCCCTCGTCCTGCCCACCATTGTCTGCTGGGCCTCACCTTCGGATTCCTAATCTGCCTCTCCATTTTCACTCACCGTCCCCTACGCTCGCTCTCTACAGTCTCCAAAGCAATTTTGTAAAAGTGTGAATGAAACGATGTCACAAACACAGCTCCACACCCCCTTGAAATCCTTCAAGAAATTCCTATTGCTTTTAGGAAAAATGTGTGCCTCTCATCACGGTCTTTGAGCAGGAATAAACAGACTACAGCCCTAGGCGAAAGCTGGCCCACTGCCTGTGTTTGTACTGCCCATCACACAAGATTGAGTTCGCTATTTTTAAATGGCTGAAAACACTCAAAAGAAGGTCTCATGACACATGAAAATTACATGAATTTCAAATTACAGGGTCGAGAAATAAAGTTTATTGAAACATAACCACACTCATTTATTTACAAATTGTCTGTGGCTGTTTCTAATATAACAGCAGAGTTGAACAGTTTCACAAGATTGTATGGACCATAAATCCTAAAGTAACAACTTTCTCACCCTTCACAGAAAAAGTTTGTCAAGACCCGCCTTACAAAATTTGGGTCATTTGACACTTTTTTCCATCCTTTTCCACCCTCATCTCAGGTGCTCCCCCACCCCTCATGCTATGCTTCAGCCACAGGAACCATCTACGTATTTCTCACACAAGCTGGGCACACCCGCATTCCCAGGTCTTTGAACGTGCTGTTTCCTCTGCTTAGAAATCTTTATTAACTGGCTTCTTTTTCTTTAGGACTCAGCAAAAATGTTATTTCTTCTGAGAGGCTTTCCTTGAAGATATTACAAAGTAGCTCCCTAGACCACCTTCCAAGTTCTATTTGAAAATGAATATTTTACTCCTTTATACAAAGGCATTTAAGAAAGTTTTAACTTTCAAGCTGTAGAAAAATAAAATATTTTCTCTAATTTTTAAGCAAAAATTTAAGCAAAATTAGAAACATAACATCTTAATAGTTTAATATCTTCTAAAAGTGACATGTGTCTATTGAAGTTATTTTAAAACTACAGAAATGTGTAAAGAGAGGAATAAAAAAATCACTCCAGAATGCCACCATCCTCAGATTATTATCTTCAATATTTGACATATATCCTTTTATTTTTCTATATAGTTTTGTTATTTAATCTGAAGCCACATAACTAGCCTACGATTAGATTGGCTTAACTCTAAAATATGCATAGTTGTTTGGTGCTGTAATATATATTAGAGAATATCGATTTATTAATTCATAAATTAAGATACTGTTTGTTTATACTATAAGTAAGGGTCATGCCTGGACACATATATAGTATCTAAACTTGATTCTGTACTATGAAACATAAACGTTAATCCTTCCACTGCGTGCTTGGAGATTGCAAAGTAAAAGAGAAAAAAAAGAAAGAAGGAAGAGGAAAAAAAGGAAGGAAAGGAGGGATAGATAGAGGAATGGGAAGAAAGAGGAAAGGAGAAAGGAAAAGAAAGGAAGGAAGGAAGGAAGGAAGGAAGGAAGGAAGAAAACAAACAAAAAACAAGAGAAAAGAAAGAATAGAGAGAAAGGAGAGGGGAGAAGTCATTTTTCCTGAGTTTAATTATGTCTTTACAGAAAGTTGCATGCCCATCTCATTTCCGTGTATTATCTTTTAAGTTTCATGCTAACTAGCCTTTGAGGAAACGGTCTGGAAATAATTGCACACAAATTGCAAAATGCCTTTGATCTGGCTTTTTGCAAGCCTTCGGCCCTGTTTGTTACCAGCACTAGCACCATCATCACTCACTTTTGCTTAGTTTGGCAACTGTCAAACACGCTCGCAAATTTGTTGACATTCCTTCTATTGAGAGGTGTGGTCCACATCCCTCTCTTTGGTTCTGGGCAGGCTAGTGATGGCTGCAACCAACAGAGAGTATGGCAGAAATGGTGCCATATAATTTCTGAGGCAAGGCTAGGAAAGGCCATGAAGCTACCTCCTAGTTCTCAGGAAGTTTGCTAGCTGTAGGGTAATCAATCATCATGTAAGAAGTTTGGCTACTCTCAGACTTCCACACTTCGGCGCTCTGGTCAACAGCCAGGCTGAGCTCCAGCCTCAAATGCCAGCCATGTGAGTGAGCCATCATAGACATTCAGCCCTGACTAGCTAGTATGGGTTGAACTGTGATCCCCAAAAAGGCATATTCAGCTCCTAACTTGTGGAACCTGTGAATGTGACCTTATTTGGAAACAGAGTCTTTGCAAAGATAACTAAGTTAAGATCAATTCACAGTGGATTAGAATGGTCCCTGATCTAGTGACTGGTGTTCTTGTAAGAAGACAGGAATTTGGACACATTGACACACAGAAAAGACGACCTTGTGAAGAGATAGGCAGGGAGAATGCCACATGACAACGAAAACAGAGATTGATGGGATCCGTCTATTAGCCAAGGATTGCCGGCAAAACTACCAAAAGCTAGAAAGGGACAAACAATGATCTTCACTTAGAGTTTTCAGAGACAGCATGGCTCTGCGTGGAGGGGAGGCGGCCAGCCCCTCAAGCTAGACCCAGAAGAGCAAGTGCTCCCCATGAACCCCCTCAGAGACTGATCATAATTGATACTTCTGACATAAACCAGTACCTCTCCCCCACGTCACATGGTGTGCTGGCTCCTGGAAAAGGCTGTTGTCCTGACCCAGATGAGCATGTAAAGCTCTTCCCTTACCTGGGATGGGTCACATCCCAGTTCCCCTGTCCCTCCTGCCCTGTTCTGTAGATTTCCTGTTGGCAGGTGCCAAGCGGCGTGGAGGATATCCCCTTCATCTTGCCCAAGACGTGCCTCACATGTAAGTTTCCCTTCACACGTACACTGTTAAGTAGCAGGCTGGAGTGGCCTCCGCCTCTTTCTTCAGTCTTTCCCTGCCTTCTGCTTACGGGGGTAGATTTTCAGTCCCAGGGCTTTTCTCTGGACCGTGTGTATGAATACTCCGCTGATACCTTGATGTTGGACTTCCACACCCTTCTGTTATTTTAAATCCCCCAGTTTGTGGTACTTTGTTTCAGCCATCCTAGAAAGCTCGAACGCTAGCCCTCAGATGACCGCAGCCCAGCCATCATCTGGAGGCAAACACCTGAGAGACTCCAGATGAGAATTGCCCAACCAAGACCCTTCCAACTTCCTGACCCTCTCATTTATGAGCTAAGGGGAATGTTTAAGACTCTAAGCTTTGAGGTAATTTGCTACATACAATAGTGAGACTAGAACCCTTGGATAACTCCCATTCATCCTTCAGGTTTCAATTTAGCTATCATTTTAGGAAGCCTTCTCTGACCTACTCACACCTGCATTGCATGCCCCTCCTCTGAACTCCCACAGCACCTCTGTTTATCCCACTTTTCACTCTACATGGTCCATGAAACCCGTATGTCAGCTCTGCCCTAAAGCCAGCCTTTCCTTTTGCCGTATCGCAGCAAGTCTTCACATTCGTCCCAAAACTTTAACTCACCCTTTCCAAAGTATGTAAGTGCACTTCTGCTTTCACTAAAGGTTGTGTAGGGGACACAGAAGACAAAGATGATAATATGCACCCTTAGAGCAGGGAACTGAAATACTCACCAGTGGACATTTTCTGTTTGTTTAGCCTGAAAGCCTCCGGGGAGTCATCCACTGCAGAAGCTCTCAGAACCCTTCAGACGTCAGTGATGCCCCCGAGGGACAAAAAACCTTGAGAGTTTCCCAAACGCAAAGTCACTGGACTCTTTTTTCATGGAATAGCTTCGAAGGCATGGGGTTTTCCTAAATTTGACTCACCTACAAATACTCATCATTATTTTAAATTCCTTCTAAGTTATATATTGCATTATTTCCACTGAGGTATGGACTCTGAAAAAGGAGCAGGGCCCTGGCATTTCACTTGGGCTTCTTTATCATCATTAATAAGTCCCAGAGCAAGTATTCAGAGAGACCTTTGAGGGAGCTTTATCATCCTGACTCATATTTAATGCGCTTCATACCAAGAGCATTACAGAGCAACGGAAAAAACACACCACGCTTCTCCACTGCCCAAAGACAAATACAAAGCCATTCGGGGCACTCCGAGTTTTCAATTTTCCAGCTATTTTTTTAGATTGAGATATAGTACTAGTAGACTATTTCAAAAGTTTATGGCTACTAGATACATAGCACAGAGAAGGTCAAATGGAGCCAGAAGGAAGTTGCAATGGTGCTGCAGACACCTCGAGCAAGTCCTGTCACCTCCCAAACAACATCAGCCTT